ACTAGATGTTATTATTGTGGTTGCATTTGAATTATTTTTTTTAAATGAAAAAATATTTGAAATTCCTAAATAAATAATTAACAAAAAAAAAAAACGTACCAAAATATACATTACATCCAATCAGATAAACGCAATTTTAAAAATAAATATTCCAACTCCTTTAATTGTAAATTTGGCCAGCAAAAAAGTGAAAGAAAAATAATTAATTATTATATGCATACAAATAACTCACAATACTTTATTTATATTTGTGCATTTTGCACAGGTCGAAAGTTTATTTTATATTTATGTTTCTACCAACCAATTATTATATTACATGTGTCAAATTATCTCACAATTGAGATTAACCATTGGAGACAAAATATTTTCTTTTCCTTTCTCCACATCATACATCTCAAAATACACATCGAGCCATTGGAGATGCTTTAACGGAGTCAACAGTTGGCTCCTTAGCATTACTGACTATTTCGTAAAGGTTTGTGACCGTTGGATCAACTATCCCTAACGGTTACATAATAATCTAACGGAACCGAACCGTATCATTTCCCTATAAATAAATATACTAAATAGTTGTAAGGAGTACAGTTGTGAAAATGGTGTATGCTTCCCTGTGGTTGGTTCATAGCTATATCCTATATATATATATGGTGGACTGGTCCATTTTTTTGTGGGTGTAAAATTGACAAAATTTATTAAAAGTATTCATGTGACTTTGCCAGTTACGTGTCTCTTTTTGTAAAATATTCGTGTTGTATAGTATTATTATTTGTTACCAGTAACTAAAAAAAAAATAAAAATGTATCACATTGCGCGGTCTGTTACATATCTCTTTGTAAAGGTTTGAGTGAAATTAAGACGTAAAATCCATCCTATATTAAACAATTTTAGGCATATGGATAAAATACTGTTACACTACAAAATGGAATTTATTTTTTTATTTTTTAAAAGATGATAGAGTCTTTTCTTCTCTACAAGAAAAGCTAACTGCATGCGACCCTTTGGTCAATTGATTTTTGACGTATACAAAGTGATAGGGACATTAGCACCCATTCGACCCAACCGATAAGGACCCATAAAATTGGGGACGAAGGAGGACGGAGAATCGATCGGCTCATAGGGTCGAACATGGTCCGATTGGCTTGGAAGGTCAAATGTGTTGACTTAGGGTCGAATTAGACCCTTGGTCCGGAGGGTTGAACACATAAACCCTTAGTCTGGAAGTCGTACACATAGACACTTGGCCTGGAGGGTCGAATACATAGACCCATGGCTCGGAGGGTATAACACATAAACCCTTGGTTTGAAGGGTTGAACACATAGACCCTTGGCCCAGATGGTAGAACACATACACCCTTGAACTGGAGGGTAGAACACATAGGCCCATGGCTCGGAGGGTCAAACACATGAACCCTTGGCCCGGAAGGTCGAACACATAGACCCATAGCCCGAATGGTAGAATAGAAATCTAATGTAGGAATCAAGGTTCGGCCCCAGTGGCGGGTCAATCGATTTTTTACCTCAGTGGTCGTTCGACTTTTGGTGTTCGACTTCAATGGCGGGTCACTTTATTTTCGGCCTCAGTGGTCGTTCGACTTTTGGTGTTCGGCCCCAGTGGTGGGTCACTCGATCTTCGACCTCAGTGGTCGTTCGGCTTTAGATGTTCGACCCCAGTGGCGGGTCACGCGATTTTCGACCTCAGTGGTCGTTCAACTTCAGTGGCGGGTCACTCGATCTTCGACCTCAGTGGTCGTTCGACTTTAGGTGTTCGACCCCAGTGGCGGGTCACTCGATTTTCGACCTCTATGGTAGGTCATTTGATTTTTCGACCTCAGTGGTAGGTCTTTCGGTGTTCGACCTCAATGGTAGGTCATTTGATTTTTCGACCTCAGTGGTAGGTCTTTCGATGTTCGACCTCAGAGGAAGATCTCTCGGTTTTCGACCTTAATGGTCATTCAGTGTTCATTTGGGGTCATGATGCTCATTTGGAGGTTTGGTGACTATTTGGTGGTCGAAGATTTATTCAAATTATTACCTCGGGGCAGGTTGACGGAAACAACCCGAAAATAAATTTCACTCTTGGATCGAGTCATGTTTACTCGACTAGAGTGGGGGAACTAGATGACATATGATATTATACTAGACTGGGTTTAATGGATGAAAGAGAAATATATTGGAGAATAAAGGAATATGTTGGAGAATAAATCTACAAATAGGCTAAGACACGTGGTATGATAGCATTGGACAAGCTTAACTTGGGTCATAAGTTACGCTCCCCCTATAAAAGGGACTAAGGTATCTCAGTCTCTCTACATTCATAATTACTCTTTTGGGATTTGGAGTTTTAGAGTGATATTGACTTGAGCGTCGTAGGCCCGACACCGGGACCCCTCCCGGCATTGGGTTCTTGCAGGTACGGAGGCCATCATAGTTAAAGGAGTCGGGGTGGAATTCATTTTCACCAACAGTAGCAATGATCCTTTCCTCCCATGATGTCCTAGGTTTGAACCCATGGCTTGCAAATTTTTTTTATCAAATTTATCGCGATATTTTCAAATATCATAATAAATTTAATTTATCATAAATCTATATATAACAAAATTTGGAGGATATAACAGGATTTTCAGCACAAAATTAATATCGTTAACTGGACAAATAAAAAAAAAGGCAAAATTGCATATAAAAGCACGACCTTTTATGTTTTTGCATTTTAATCACGACCTTTTCATATTAGCACTAAAGTACATGACCTTTCATCTCTTTGCAAGTCGAAGCATGCCTTTCATCTCCGGCACTATTAAAACGACGTGTCCTGTCGGAAAACACACGTGGAATAAAAAAAAACGAAAAAAATACTAATCCACTCTGGACCCGTTTTTTGACACGTCCCACACCAAAATAAATTAAAAATCAAAATCCAAATCCACGTAAATCTCAAATCTCGAAGACAAAGTCGAAAAATTAAAAATTCCCAAATCGAAGAAAGAAGAAAACCTAAAAAAATCATCTGTAACGACAATCTCGCATCTCGAAGACAAACTCGAAAAATCGAAGGCTTCAATATGGAAAATCCAAGACAAATCGGCCTTATTCTGTGTGAAAATCACCAATGTGGTCCCAATACCGAAGAGTTGATGAAGGAAGGGGAGACAGGTAATTGTTATGTGTAATATTCTATACGAAAATCGTCCAGATTTTTTTTTTTAATTCTATAATCTCTTTTAGATACATATTATTTTATTAATTATGGGTTTCGATTAAGATATTTAGGGTTTAGGGTTCTAAATTAGTATTTTTTTAGGGATCAGGGATACAAAATTAGGGTTTTGGTTTCAATTTGGGTTTTTTAGGGATTTAAAATACATAATTAGGGTTTTCTTTCAATTAGGATTTTTAGGGGAATAGGGATTAAAGTTTGTTTTAGTTAGAAATTTTTGCCTTATAATGATATTCATAAACTATATTTTCCTTTGCCAATGCAGTAAATATATAATCTTTTTGAATCATGGTGGTAAGATTGTCAACGTGGATGGGTTATGCGATTATTTTGGGGGTGACTTGTGTGCCATACATGGATTGGCACCAGACAAATTCTCTTACATTCACTTGAAAGAACAGATATAGAAACTGGGTTACAAGGAGTGGAAGAAAATCTGTTACAAGATTCCGGGAAAAAGATGTTTTTGAAGAGATTTCTAGTGACAGTGATATGAGGAGTATGGTGAAGCTACTACCTCCAAAAAGGTTTATCTATGTGTATGTTGATGAAGGAGAAATAGTTAAAAAGAATCCTGAGAGTGTACATGATTCCAATCTTTGTGGTGATTCAAGTGATGTACAGGATGCCAACCTCTGTGGTCATTCAACTGATGATGATTATGAACCATCTGGTGACAGTTCCAGTGATGATGGCCTATCTGATGGTGATCTAGTGACAGATGATGAAGAATATATATCTGCCAGAAAGGATAGAGAAATATTCAGAAAAAGTCAAGATGAAGATGGTAGGAACACTACAGATTTTGGTCATGAAGATGAAGCTGTTGAGGGATCTAACAAAGAATTTGTGTCAGACTATGAAGATTCTAATGGTTCTCTCAATTCAGAGAGTTCTGACAGTGATGGTGTGAGTAAGGCAAGGAATAAGTGTGCTATATAATATGATCCCAAGAGTGATAAAAAGGATTTGCAATTTGTTTTAGGAATGAAATTTGATAGTATTGTTCAATGCAAAGATGCCATCCAGACTCATGCTATTTATAATGGCTGTAATATTCAATTTTGGAGAAGTAATGAGAAACAAGTAGAAGCTAGGTGTCAGAAGCCTTGTCCTTGGAAATTGTATGCCAGTTTTATCAAAGAGGAAGGAAGGGTTGCCATTAAGACCCTTGTTGCTGAGCACACATGTTATAGGGACATCAAAACTAGGCAAGCAACTTCTAGTTGGGTGGCAAAAGAGTTTTTAGATAAGTTTAGAAAGAAACCAAGGATGAAAGTGGCTGATTTGGAGGACCAAATTATGGAAAAATATGCAGTGCAACCAAATAAGTGGAAATTGTACAGAGGCAAGTACAAAGCTTTGGAGATGCTTAGGGGGTCAGAAGAGGAGCATTATGGCTGTTTGAGGAACTACATTGCAGAATTGCAGAGGGTTGATAGAAATGGTAGGTTTGAACTCCTATTGGACACAGGCAGTGTTTTCAAGGCCTTTTTCATTGGTTTTAGTGCTTTAAGGCAAGGTTTTTTGCAAGGTTGTAGGCCAGTGATAGGTTTTGATGGGTGTTTTCTTAAGACCTTTCTGGGGGGTGTTTTGTTGTGTGCTATTGGAAAAGATGGAAATAATCAGGTATTTCCTATAGCTTGGGCTGTTGCAAACTTAGAAAATGAAGAAAACTGGAAGTGGTTTTTAGAAATCTTATTCCAGGACCTTGGCATTGGGGATGGTTTAGGTTGGACTTTCATTAGTGATCAACAAAAGGTAATCAACTTATTAATTTTAATGAACTTACTTTTTTGTTTTGTTTTCTATATAGGATTTTGGCAATTAAAGTACTTAATTATTTTTTTGTTTTGTTTTGTTTTATATGTAGGGACTTATTGCTGCTGTACAGGATCTCACTCCACATGCTGAGCACATGAATTGTGCAAGGCATGTTTATATGAACTGGAAAAAACAACATCCTGGAAAAGCACTGAAGAACCTCTACTGGAAAGTGGTCAATAGCACTTACAAAGCAGCTTACAAAGAAGCTGTTGATGATCTAAAGGCAGAGGACCCTGATGCATGTAAAGATTTCATGGCAAAGGAGACTTTCAGATTCTGTAAGGCTTTCATTATGGATATGCCTAAGTGTGATATGATTTGTAATAATGTCTGTGAAACTTTCAATTCCACTATAGTTAAGGCTAGGAAAAAACCAATAGTGGAAATGTTAGAACTCATTAGGACATATGTGATGGAGAGACACCACCAGAAGCTGATGGAAACAAATGAGTGCACTAATGTTATGTGTCCTAGGATTAGGAAGAAAGTTGAGGAGGCCAAATTTAAAAGTAGACTTTGTGTGACAAAGCCTGCTGTAGGTGATAAGTTTCAAGTTGCTATTCATGATGATCAGTTTGTAGTTGACTTGAGGGATTTAAGTTGCACATGTAGAGAGTGGGATATTTCTGGTATACCTTGTACCCATGCTTGTTCAGCAATACACTATATGAAGAAGGATGTGTCAGATTTTGTGAGCCCCTACTTTAGTACAGATAGATATCTGAAAGCATATTCACCTGCCCTTGAACCCTTGAATGGCAAAAAAATATGGCCTACTGCACTTGGTACTAAGGTAAAACCACCTCCATACAAAAGAATGCCAGGGAGACCTAAGATTGCAAGGAGAAAAGCACCTGAGGAAGAAGCCAAGAGTGCTACAACATTGAAAAGGTTTGGTTTGCAAATGAGATGCCAGAAGTGCTTGCAGGTTGGTCACAACAAAAGAACCTGTAAAAATGAAGCTGCTCCTAAGCCACCAAAGGTGAGTATTAATTGTTGCATTTATACTTGATTCTGTCCTTTATATTTGTATCTTAATCTTAATGTATTTGTATGATTGTTTGAATTGTAGAAAAAGATTGGAAGGCCAAGATTACATAACAGAATTTGTCCTCCTATAAATGAGCTTCCTGATGCACTCCAGAATGACCAATCAAGAATATCTACCCCTATGCAAGTCAGAAAAAGGAAACTTCCGGTTAGAAAGGGTACTACAAAATCTGGCCAGGGGCAAATGTACAAGGATAGAGCAATGGTATCTAATCTGAATTCCACTTTCATTAGTAATAATCTTAAATAAGTGTTGTTCAGTTCATGGTTTTGTATCTAGTGCAGGCAAGAAAGGGTTATGGTGTTTACCAATCTGAAGAAACTGGTGCAATTTACATGAGAGTGAGTAGCTTTATTTATACGAATTAATGGTGCATTTTATTTTAAGGTCTAATTAACACTATTTTTGAAATATGTTAGATGTCAAGTCGCAAAATAATTCATTGTCTGTCTTCACCTGGAGGGACTAGCCAATTGACAAGAGAATCTGGAGGGACTAGCCAAGTGACAAGAGAACATGGAGGGACTAGCCAAGGAGGAGACATTGCAGGAACACAAGAAAGTGTGGCCAAGTAGTTTTTTTTGTTTCTTTCATTATTTTGGAAGTGCAATGTACCTAGATAAGACATCTTTTGTTGAATTTGTTCTTTTGTCAAACAAGAATTTGCTCTTTTGTCAATTTAGTGGTTTCAGAGTCTTTATTAGTGTTCTTGCTTGTGTTTAAGCCAATGAATCACAACAGTTGCTCTTGTGGGTTTGAATTGCATGGTTTTAGTTGCTAAGGAATCTTATCAGTTGCTCTTGTTTATTTGAATTGCATGGTGCAAGTTTCTATTAATGCTATGGGTTAAGTTTAAAGAAGCATCAATAATATTGAGCAGCTCATGTCTTATAGAACAGACAAATGTCACATAACATTTAAGTTGTTCATGTCTTTACAAACACAAAACACACAACATTGATAATTCTCCCTTACAACACAAAAGGTACAATGTTTCAAAATCCCACACAATACAAAAATCTACTTCAACATTAATTGACCTTTACCAGAGTCTAATCTAACAATGAACATAGATAGAAATAATACAAACAGAAATAACACAAAGATATTTCTCTCAACTTTCAGTCTCCTTGAATGGTTGTGCACATTCTGCTCCAAAACTTGAATTTTGTTCTTCAACTGATGCAACTCATTTTCCTTGATCTCTAGCCTTTCAGACAGAAGTGTTTCAGAGATGATTTTACATTTCAATTGCTCTTCTAGCAAGTTCTTTTCAGCCTTCATTTTGTTCTTCAACTGATGCAACTCATTTTCCTTGATCTCTAGCTTTTCAGATAGATGACTTTCAAAGATGATTTTACACTTCAATTGGTCTTCTAGCAAGTTTTTTTCAGCCTTCATTTTGTTCTTCAACTGATGCAACTCATTTTCCTTGATCTCTAGCTTTTCAGACAGATGAC